CTCAGCTTTATCATTTATTTCTATTTTCTGAGTTTTCATAGAAATATATTTAAAAGTAAGTAAATTTACGGTATTCATTCAATAGTAATTGCATTTTTTAACTTTTGACAAAAAGTATTATTTGGAAAGAATGGAATAGTTGTTAGTCTTAAAATGTTCTATTGTTTACAAAATTTAAGTAGAACTAAAGAAACCCTTTAARGTAGTCAAGTCTCCTTCAACACATATTATGCATCTATATAAATTAAAAATCTATCAAAGATTGAATCATTGAATCAATAAATCCCTATTTTATATTTATCTAATTAATTTAATGTTTTAATGTACTTATTATTATGATTTGTTGATTCAGAGCAAATTATGTATTTATTTGTTATAAGGCTAAACTATAAACTATTAGAATGAAAATAAACTAAGTGATTGTTGTAATCAACCATCATAAATTATATTTCTAGTTATGCTTGTTCGTATTATTTTCAAACCTTCACTAAACAAATACATTAAGACATTAAGTATCATATTATATATTTAATCAACAATCTAAAATTATTTCATATTTTTTTTTTTAAGTTAAAAACGATGAGAGCGTATCGATTGTTGAAAAAACTGATGCCGTCCAGTGGTGGTGGCGACGATTTTGAAAAGGCCAAAAAATCTATACGTTTGGCTAGATATGGCTGTGCAAACAGGCCTTTTTACCACATTGTAGTTGTACTTGTAAGTATAACAATTTTGTACTTTAAATACTTTACTTACAATTTTAAAATATTTTTGTTGTAGCAACGACGCGATTGTAAAGCCCATCCAATTGAACAGCTTGGTACGTATGATCCTATGGAAAATCATAATGGAGAAAAACTAGTCAGCTTCAACTTAGAAAGGATCAAATACTGGATGGCCAAAAAAGCACGTTTGACAAATCCAGTTGCCGAATTATTAGGTATGAGTATAGATTTAATTGCTAAGAATGTAATTATAAAATGTTTAAGCAATGTTTGAGATCGATATGTATCAAATATTGAAGTACAGTTGACTCTCAATAATTCGAAGTTGACGRGATTATTGATAAACTTTGAATTGCCAAGAGTTTAAATTGTTGAGTAGTTCAAAGTAATGAGGGAGCAAAAAAAAATTCTAATTGAGAGTTGAGAACATTTTGTTTTTTTTAATTTTTTGCAYAATTATTAATTATTTCAGCAAATCGGGTGGTACATATTAGATTTATTTATTGTTTTTAAATTTTAAATTAAATTATATACCTATTAATTATACTATGTAAATTCAATTATTA